CTTGGCTGGCATCTGATAACTTGGTTTTCGGGTCAATTCCTATCATTGCCAGAACTCATGAGAGTATCTCCTGTGCCTAAACTGTTTGTGCAAACAATATGGTGTATGCTGAACATCAGATTTCCTTGTGGAATCTGGAATTTGGATATGTGCCAGGCAGAGGGTGCCTATGTGATCAGCTCCCCCACAACAAAAATCTTGAGAACTGAGTGTCGAGCTGCTGTGGGAGGTAACATTTCACATGTGTTGTTACAACTTGTTGCTGGAAGAATTAAGAATTTCATTTGTGACTCCATGAGTTCTCTGGGAAAGGACCTTAAAAGTTGGCACCTGACTTCTTCCAGACTTCCCTCAATGGGCCTTTTCCCTTTGCTAATTTTGCTTTGTATACTTTTCCTGTGGTAAATCATAGATGTGAGTACAACTATATGCTGAAACCTTTGAGTTCTCTTAGCAATCATCATACTGGGAGTGGTCTTGGGGACACAGGGTGGTACCTGCTTCTTGCAGCTACTATTTTCTTATCTCAGTACCTTCTTTTTTTGTCATCTTAGTTCCAGAAATCCTTTTAAATAACATTCTTGTTTTAAAATTTTTGTTTAAAATAACTGTTGTATTTTTTTTTTTTTTTTTGGATTGGTCCATAATTGACATAGCCAGTGAGTAAGAGTGTACTGTCTGGTTAATCTCCTTTGCTATTCTGCTTTTTATCAGAAACTAACATTTGTAATAGCATTACTCTTTTGTAACTCAGTTCAAGAGAAGGTGTTCAAGGAAGTTGTTCAGTAACAAGGAAGGTGGTCTTTAAACCAAACATTTCCCAAAGCTAATCCCCATATAAAATTATTGAGCATGCTGGGAAGGTTTTCTATAGATCAAAACGGTGCCAGTAATTAGATTATGTGAACTTTGAAAACTTGCTTTATTTCGGAAAAAAAATATATGTGATCTTTATGTAAAGGTCTTTTTTATTTTTGGTGGCTGGCGGGTATTGAGATCGGAATCCTTGACCTTGGTGATACAACACCGTGCTCTAACCAACTGAGCTAACCACTCATCCAAGGTCTTGTTCTGTGGTTAGAATTCATTCTGTATTTGTTTTGACTGCAGGATTGATTAAAAACAGTATTACCAACAAAAGTCATAGCCATCTCTATCTATCTTAAGCCTTTCCAGTTCTGTTCAGTCTATATTTAGGGTTCTGAAGAGTGAGAAAAAGGCAAAATAAAGTGTGATTTTCAGTGTAAGTCATTCAGGAGGATTTCATTTGGAAAGATCACATGAAGGCAGAAAAAAAAGATACATAGATATACCTAAAATGTTATATTATGGGAGATTTCAAACATCCACAAAATGTTGATCTAATACAATTATGAAAAACTCCTCATGTACCCATCATCCAGTTCAATAATTATCAACATATGATCAATTTTGTTTCATCCACTCTATTCCCCAACCTGCACTGAATTATTTTAAAGCAAATCACAGACATCACATTCCATCTTCTGTATGAATCTTTAACATATACTCTTTTTTTTTTTTTAGCAGATGGCCAGTACAGGGGTCCTTGACCTTGGTGTTACAACACCCCACTCTCAACAACTGAGCTAACTGGCCAGCCCAAGAGAGAGATTCATTTACATAAGTACTCCTACAAATTTTAACAATATCTTAAAATCATCTAATATCCAGTCATTTTTCAAATTTCCCAGTCTCATATACACTATGTCTTTTTATATTGTTTGTGCAAAACAAAACCAAATAATGCCTTTTAAATCTACAATAGTCTCCCCGGACCCCCACCTTTTTTTTTTTTTTTTTTTTTTTTTTTTTTTTC